CGAAAATTTGCCCCGCGACCTCGATTGAGGTCAAGTTTCCTAAGAGATGACGTGCCCTCTGCTTGAGTCGCTTGTCCTTGGTTTTTCGGACCTTCCTCTTATTTTCCTTCTTTCTTCTTGACATTGTTGATTTTCTCGCGCACAAAGGAAACTTCTTTGACAGGTTAATATGCGCTGTTGTCAACTTGTTGGATGCGGACTGAAGTTCCTCGTGCAGTGTAGTGATTCGCCTATGTGCTTCTTCTAAATAGGCCAACTCATCGCCTGCAAATGACTTTAGAGTGTGGTCCTCTGAAAATTGTCGCTAAATATGACCTGCTGATAGGGACTTGGCGGACTGCTATTTGGCACTCTAAAAAAAGTAACTTTGCAGTTTCAAGCACTGATTGCAGTTTCAAGCACTTTACAGTTTTAAGCAAGATTGCTTGTATGTCAACTGAATTCAGATGTCTGGATCCAGACTAGAAAAAGACACGGATCAAGAGACACTTTTAAAAAAAGACTGCGCAATAACGGTTTTATTATGCTGTAAGTACATCATAGTTAGAAATACTACCTGTATATGAACGTTTAAAACACTAAATATACACGTCGAAAGGTGAATATGGGTACAAAGACATGGGGGGGGGGGGGATCACGAAAGTTATATATAGTTATGAGGGGGGATCACTTCAATAAAATAACATTTAAAGGGGGGATCGGCTAAATTTCATCGTGTTTAGCCCAAAATCCTCCGACCCCCCCCAGGCGATAAATAATGACCGGTCCCTAAGCTGCAACTGTTGATTAATAAAGGGATTGACTTTGAAAGAAACTGTAGTGATGAACCGGTAGAAAAAATTAAATAAAGATCATTTTAATCTGGGGAAATTAAGCTTGTGAAATAGTTTTACCACAGTAATGAAAAGCTTTAGTCTCGACTGCTATTCATTTTGTGCCCGCAGATGTCTAAGTTTAAAAAAAGAGAGAAAGAAACTGGGAGAGAATTGAATGGTTCACTCGATCGAAGCTTATTGTGCTGGTTTGCTTTCGAAGTACAATGGTTTTATGCGCTTTCAATTCAATAGCTCCTCTTGTCGATGTTATCGAATTTCGTGTCCGCTCATCGTCTTCTTCGGCGTACATGTTTGCTCCGAAACCAGATCCAGTTCGCCTCAAAAGCAAGCGCATGGAATTCTTAAGACAGTTACATTATTTTACACTGATTGACTCCCAACGGTTTAACTCCAAATTAGGCAACTGTTTCCTTAAAAGCACATGCAAATCATCCCAAACAATGTAAGCGCCAATGGAGGGGGAGGGGAGGTTACACTGTCTGAAGCTTTAACTGAATTTCTTCAATAATAAAGATCATTTTAAATTTATTGCAAAGTAGATGTAACTGGAATAATTTAATAGTCTGTATTGACTGTTGTCTACCCAATACAGTATATTTAACAATTCGTGACTAAAATTGTGATTAAAATTGTAATGAGTGTGTTAGCGTAAGTTATACTAATAATGTATTAGTTTGTGTAGTGGATACAGCATGATGTAATGGCAGTGCTTTGATTATAGTTCGTAAAAGCAAATGTGAACCTGAGTTTCAGATAAAGATAATTGAACCAAATATGTTCTTCTATTGTTGAATTTGTCACCCCTGTTTTGGTTGCCGTCGCTCACCTTCATCTGGGAATCCCGAGAATAACTAGGAAAATCCCAACCTCGTTCCCAGGACGCTTTTCCCTGGCTTTGGATCAATCAAAATGACGGATCGACCAGCCGATGCCAGGGCCTTTTCCCGCCCCACCTCCAAAGCCACGGAAAAGCTCCCTGGGGACGAAGTTGGGAAAATCCGGCCCTAATGCAATGGTGGCGTAAAACTGAGCATGCTCTTTTTCCGTTGTTCTCTCGGGTAACCTAGACAATCAAATTTGGAATACGCAGCGTCCATGTCGGCTGTGTAAGCCTCATATAATATATAGATAGGTCGACATTTCGAGGCCGGCTTACATGATGCACTACTCAACTCGGTTTATAAGTAGGAACTTGGCAGTAACTGGATCAGGTGACCCACCGCGAATATCGTTGTGAAGGTCCCTGCTTTGTTCTTTCTTTTCTTCTTCTTTTTCTTTCTTCTGTATTGTGAGGTGTTATTTTAAAAAGTATATTGAAAAGCGTGTTCAGCATTATTCCGGCTGCTGGATATAGAAAAAAACACAAACAAGGCAGTACAGTCAGGCGAAAATTATTACACTTAAGGCCGCAGTTCAGAACTGAAACTTTGATCTATCGGCAAGGAATTTAACCGGCAAACTAACAAATTTGGGTTTTCCAAGGTATAAAACGAATTTCAAGGCGTTGCCTTCGCTATGCTAAGCGATGTTCTCTCTGCTCCGGGGTTTCTTGTTGACGTCTTCTCCTTCGTTGTTCACGCCGAATTTCAAGTCAGCGTTCTCGCTCCATAGGGGTTTTGGTGATATCTTCCCCGGAGAGGAATTGGAGCCACTTGTTGTGCTTCCTTTTCTGTGTCATTTGCATAGGAATGAAATTGCTCGTGATTCACCGATCGCTCATAAACATTGTTTCACAGACGATAAATAAACACATAAGCCTTTCATGAATAAAATTTAAAGTACTTCCTGGTCATCGGCGGCAAAGTCTATGTTGCCTGGAAACACAAAATGCTCCATGACTTAGCGCTACATGATGTCATTGTCGGGATATTTTGCCGCTGGCTACGACCACGCGCGGTTCACGCGCTGCGCGCTCGCCTCGCGCGCGACGAATTACAAACTCGCTTCGCGCCGAGCTTCGCTCGGAATAAGTAACCACATGATTTTTCTCGTGCAATTTGGGAGTAAATCAGCACTCGTAAAAAAATAACTTGTGCTGATTTATCCCAAATTGCACTCGAAATCATGCGATTACCTATATTGTGAAATTGAATTTCCATCGATTAATCGCGTAAATTACGTATAATATTCTGGGTATTGTTATCCATGAAATGTAAATAAGGTATGGAGGATACACTCCAACCTGGATTCCCCGCGGGGTGGGAGGGCGGGTCGCTAAATCTGATCTAACAGCGGCGTCAGAGTAGAGTCCAGTTAGCCTCCTACGGGGTTCGTTACGTGTTCCTGCCCCACGAACGAGGAACGCGTGACGAACTCCGAAGAAAGTATGCGTGGGTGGCTTTAGACTAGTCTGCTATACAGCTGTTTGTAGTGTTGGGAGGAGTGTTGCGTGACGACACTAAAAACGGCTGTGTAGCAGACTAAGAGCACGTAGAGTGCAAGAGTTGGGCCCAACGAGGTCCTATATATTCATAATTTACATATCCTCAGGGCATTCTATAAATATATCAAATATATTGTGCTAATTAAAAAATTTTTTCGGTTCGCCAGTTTGTTTTTGCAACAGCAGGAAGTGACGTTAGCGCACGTGGTGTAGAACATCAGTCTTTTCATGCATGTCCTTGCGCTGCCGAAAGACCGAAAACGCTGTGTAACTACTAATTGTTTCTTATTCTCAAGATCTGGATAACACGATTTAGATTTATCTGCAACTAACTTAACTCGACACTGTGCATGAGGAAAGCATGTTTTGGTCTACTTTGGAGCTGCTGAGTAATTATCTCCCTGAGATTGGCTTGACTGGTGTTTACACGGTCGCTATATTAACGATTGTTGGCTTCTATTCCGATTGTCTACGGCAAAAGCGAAAAGAAAAAGAGTCCTACGATGACCAAGATCAGCTCGGTAGGCGACTGGGAGTCTTTGAAAGCGTGATTGATGATTTGCATAGCTATGGGGGAAGTATACGAACGATTGTTCTTTTGCTAAAATCGAGAGTTCAGCTTCAAGCGAGTGAGGTTCGTGAAGTTTTGGAACGTTTGCCAAGAAAACATCCTCTTCTTCGTATGCGAGTCAAAGAGATCGATATCAAAGGAAGAGGAAGACCGCTAAAATGTTTTGTCGAGATGGAGGAACCTTGTACTTTAGACTTTTATGTCAAAGGCCATAAACCTGCCCGAAACTGGGAATCTACGTTTGAAAAAGAACTTCAGAGTCCTTTCCAGGTTTCCACGGGCCCCCTGTGGAGAGTTAGAATGCTCCGGGAAGAATATGACCCAAGGGAGGGGTCGTACAGTAATACTCTGGTCTTCACAGTGCATCATCTCATTGCAGATGATACCTCTCTTCTCAATCTTTCCAGGGATTTCTTAGATTTCTTGAACACTAAGCACAAAAACAACTCCCAAGACTGGGATGAAAAATTGCTGTTAAATACTCCACCCTTGAGGCCGTCTCTAACAGAGATTATTAAAGGCCATCTAACTCTCTCACGGCTGGAGAAAGTATTTCTTGCCGTCAAGTCAATGTTGGCACGAATGTTAAAAAGGATCATGGGTAAGCCAAGACATCAGTTTACTGGAGTTTTTCCACCAACAAGTTTGCAAGATCCAAGTATAATTAAGAAAACTTGCATTCTGACAAAAGTTTTGCACAAAGAAGCCATTTCAATGCTTGTGAGAAACTGTAAGGAGAACAGGTGCTCTGTACACGGAGCTTTCATTGCTGCGACAAGCATTGCCATGGCAACCATGTTGCAAAATGGCAAGATAAGAATACCAACAACAATTCCTGTGAGTTTTAGTGTCAATGTCAGACAAGAATGCAAGCCACTGGTGATGGGAAATGAGTTGGGTTGCTTCTCGTTAGATTGTGACCTTAAGATTCCTGTGCCTGCAAGCAATAAAACAGAGGAACCCTTTTGGAACTTAGCCAAGAAATGCACAGAAGATTTACATCAAGCTGTTTCTAAAGGCAATCATCACTCTACATTGAAGGCACTTTGCACATTGAGCATAGACTATGCAAGGAAGATGTACAAAATCTCTAAGAACAAGAAAACAGCAGGGCGTCTGGATACTTTGATCAACATATCCAATTTAGGTTGCCACAATTTTGGAGATGAAAGTGGTAAAAAGTATTTTGAGTGTAGCGGAGCATATTTTGCCAGTGCTGGGCATAATTTTGGTCCTGTGTTTGAAAGCAATGTTGTCACTATTAATGATGACCTGTTTTGGAGCATTGTATATTACAGCAATGTGGTTTCACAAGACATTGCTTCCCAATTTACAGATTTAGTTTTTGAAACTTTAAATTTTTATACCTAATGCTTGTTAAATTTGATATGGTGAACTAAAGATAACTAGGTCTTAAGTTTTTTTTTGTCGATCACATGTATTTAGTTTAAGAGGTTTTGTTTTCTTGGTACAGTCAACTTCCTTGAGAGTGGACACTATAGGGACTTTGAGTTAGTGTCCTCATTGGTGAGAGTGCTTTATAGCAGGAGTTTGTATCAGTGAAACATAGATGCAATTTATTATTTTTGCGTAGGATTTAGCCGCTGCTAGTATTGGGGTGTCTGTTATAGTGGGGTGTCCACAAGGCAAGAGTTGACTGTATATGTAGTTCTCATGTTTTGTACCTAGACACAGAGAGATCACAATTGACTTGATAACACAAATATCCACTCAACAAGACTTAGTTATTGTCCATAAAAAAAGTGTAAGCAGTTCTTTCAAGCAGCTATTAATACAAGTCTGTTCTGAGTTATAGATGTGTTTACTTTCATGTCATTGTCAGGTGTCTTTCATCATTCAGCTTCTTATGTAACCAACAATTAGGCATTGAGACTCCACCCTGTTGCATGTTGTTGCATGTTGTTGGGAGTTGTTGTGCAAAGTTTGAAACTGGACAAACTTTTGAGCCAACAACTCCCAATATTTCTTATGTTCCGTGGTCACCAAAGCATGCGTACTACAACAATGTTGGATCTGTTTTCACAGCTTAATTCCAAAATTGTTGGGGCCACGCAAGTACATACACATGGTCTCCTTAGAGTTTAGTTTAGTCTTGTGGGCTCTAACCTTCCCATGATGCTCTGCAGGTCCCGATATTGTTGGGAGTTGTTGCATCCGTTTGCACACCACTGCCAACAATGGAGTTGTTGTGGCCATTTGCACATAGCTTAAGATTGAAAGCTGTTCTTGATATTATTACAATATTATTGTTACCATGAATTAGTAATGCAAATAACTGATAAACTAGCGGCATAATCAATTTACAAATAATTAGCAATTAATGGATGAGGCTGAGTAGGATATGAAGAACTAAGCAAATCGAGGAGGGTGTTATCCACAGAGGCCGAGGTGGATAACACCCCCCCAGATCTGCTTGATTCTTCATATCCTACAAAAGCCGAATTCATTAATTGCTTTGTCTTCTTGCTGTTTTTGCTATGTTTTTAGCCATTATTTTGCCTAGTTCCAGCTGTAGTTCTTACTCTTGAAACGAGTCAAGTGTTCACCACTTTAGTTTTCACAACGAAAACAACGCATCCTGGTCCCCAGGTCTTCTCGGTTAACGGGTTCATTAACCTATAGAACGCTGCATTTTTTGATGTCATTTCCCCGTTAAACAAAAATTCTTCCAAATTTGGTCATCAGTAACTGGTTATTGGCTTTTAGCCAATCACAATTGGGGAAATATTTTGAATGAATAATAATGATCACTTAATTTAATATTAATCCTGCTTACCAAAACAGGGTGTGTAGATGGGACAAGTGTAATTATGGTACCATCTGTAACAACATTTGGACCCAAGCGTTAGAAAAGTCCCATCCGTTATAACATTTTGAACCCAGGCGTAATAAAAGTCCTTAATCTGTACTAACATTTGGACCCAAGTGTAATGAATTTGTAAAAGTGACCTTTATACTCAAAGCAGTAAAATACCAACAACAAATTATGACCAATAAGAGGTAAAAAGTGTAAAATCACGTGGCCTGCGGAAACCAATTGCAACCCCTGCCATTTAATTTTATCTTCAAGGCTTACATATCACTGTCAAACTGAATTATACACCTGGTTAGTAGTGTGGCTAGAAAAGTATTAAATTTTGAAGAGCAGGAATTGATTTCATTTCTTCTGTATTATTCTGACTTCCCCAAAAAGCTTCACTTGCCTGTTGGGCAAGTTAAATACAGAATTCGCTACCCACAAGCAAAATCCACTTTTGCCCCACGTTATCAGACAGTACTTTCTTGCACGCTCTAAAAATTTTGTTTGGGACTTGTCACAATGATTCTTGGGCTTGTACACAATGTAGATGCTACAACCAGTTGCATGTACTAAGACACTGTACCGTAGTTTGGCTTAAATCGCCTGTCCATGATCTTGACTCCACCCCTTATATAGAATAATAGTATATAAGACCACGCTCAAAACTTGGAAGAACAACTTTGAATGGTAGGGAGGAGGGAGGTCAGTATTATATCTCACAGACTAGCAAGGAAGCAAGAAAGGTCGTTTTTTCGCCGGAGTGTCTCAACATCTTTGCACCCTAAATATATCACACGCCAGTGTACTTGTAGCTTCCATCACCTTTTTACTCCCACAGTTTTAGTACCCACCTAAATGTTGACAGTATAGTCCCGGAGGGATACTCCTGGGAATTTTTGGTGGGGGTGTGCCGCCTGGTTCTTCAAATCATGACTCGATTTCAGACCAAAAAATATAATTTTCCACACCCGTTTTCAAACTAGACCTCTAAGATCCATACCCGTTTTCAGACCGGGCCTTTAGGCAGAAATTATGTTATCATTACTTAGATTAGAGCGCAAGCAAACAAATTTTTCAAATCTATTTATGGAATTCGCATATTTCTCTTTCTTTCTCATTCATTTGGAATTGAAACTATAAATACGTTCATACACTCCCGTATCAGGCCCGTAGCAAGCATAAAATGACTGGGGGGGCTGAGCGAGTGGCCCACATTAACTCCCCCCCCCCCCTTGCTTCGGTACCTCGGTTAAAGCATACCTCTTGGTACATGTCAGATCACTACATTTGTCTACAATAACTTTTGTTCTTGTCTCTAATTTTCCGTTTGTGTTGACTTTGACCAAATAGAGAACTTGTTTTGGAAATCGTTCGCAGAAAATTTGCCAAACAATTGCTTTCGGGTTGTTCTTTGATTCGGATTGTTTCTTCGACTACACCAGGCTCTGTGTCATTAGTGCATGGTTTTGCCCACGATAAAAGTGTTCCCTGCTTATTTTCGACTTGTTTGGATTTTTTTTTTTNCAGTTTTAGTACCCACCTAAATGTTGACAGTATAGTCCCGGAGGGATACTCCTGGGAATTTTTGGTGGGGGTGTGCCGCCTGGTTCTTCAAATCATGACTCGATTTCAGACCAAAAAATATAATTTTCCACACCCGTTTTCAAACTAGACCTCTAAGATCCATACCCGTTTTCAGACCGGGCCTTTAGGCAGAAATTATGTTATCATTACTTAGATTAGAGCGCAAGCAAACAAATTTTTCAAATCTATTTATGGAATTCGCATATTTCTCTTTCTTTCTCATTCATTTGGAATTGAAACTATAAATACGTTCATACACTCCCGTATCAGGCCCGTAGCAAGCATAAAATGACTGGGGGGGCTGAGCGAGTGGCCCACATTAACCCCCCCCCCCCCCTTGCTTCGGTACCTCGGTTAAAGCATACCTCTTGGTACATGTCAGATCACTACATTTGTCTACAATAACTTTTGTTCTTGTCTCTAATTTTCCGTTTGTGTTGACTTTGACCAAATAGAGAACTTGTTTTGGAAATCGTTCGCAGAAAATTTGCCAAACAATTGCTTTCGGGTTGTTCTTTGATTCGGATTGTTTCTTCGACTACACCAGGCTCTGTGTCATTAGTGCATGGTTTTGCCCACGATAAAAGTGTTCCCTGCTTATTTTCGACTTGTTTGGATTTTTTTTTTTTCGGCGGCTGTTGCGAAGACATTGTAAGACTTTCAATATAAACGCGTAAAAACCTAAGTTTTACTCTAGTACAGTAGTATATTTTGCACTGGCGGACCTCTTAGGAAACCAATAAAGTTCAAGAGGTCAAGTTTAGGGATTGTCATTGGTGCATTTCGATCCATTTTGCTTCTGACTATTTTGATCCTTAATAAGCAGATATTTTAAAGCTGTTGGTTGTTTTTGGCAGAGCAAAAATACGATTTCGTTCATTTACACAATTCCAAATTGCACTGAAGAACAACTGTACATAATCTTACTATGATCGACAATACTTTAAAACTTTAGCTTCCATTGACAGCTGTCCATTTTAGTAGAGAAATTCCACTTTTGTAGCAGAATTTAATTCAAGTCTGAAAATTTCTGGGGGGGCTCGAGCCCCCCCCCCCCTGCCCCTTCCCCTGCTACGGCCCTGCGTATTTCCCTCGAAAACCATACCCGTTTTCAGACCAAAACGCCCCAAAAACCCTACCCGATGGTTCGGCGCATACCTATATGGCTTATATAAGGGAGTACCCCCGCTGGGGGTATAGTCGAACATCCGATAAGTGGCCACCCAAAATTCAAAGACTCAGTGGTCGTTTAAGGATGGTGGCCCCTTGCGAGAATTCACCCACATGTGGTCTCTTCCAAGAAGAAGTCTTTTGATGAAGATCAATTTATTACATGAAATTTCTAAGTTATGAAATATCGGGTTTCAAGTTACAAGGAAAGTTTTTTGTTAACTCTTACGCGGCATAGTACATTCAGCAAACAAAGAAATCAGAGCATGTCTCAAGTGGTTGCTTACTAGGAGTGAAAAACATTTGGTTGTTGTAAAATTTGAAAAATAATCAGCCCAAAAAGTGGTCGCGTTCCCTTGCGAGTGGTGGTCGTTTTTGAGAGGTTCTAGTTACATGTATAGAACTTTGACAGGGAACATTTTGGTGTGTTTGCGTATGGGAGGTAGTTGCTTACGAAAGGTGGTCACATATGGAGTTTCAACTGTATCTAAACAAGCAAAAATGGAGAAAGGAGAAAAACATTGGCTAATGAGAAATGAGGGCTGTCGTCCAAGGCTGAGTTATGCAAAGCTCTGATGAAGTAGAAATGGAGCATATGGGTTGTCATAACTAACTCGCGAATTGCCATAATCGTGTTTGATTGAGAACACCGTCTTATAAATGGTCACTTCGTCCGTGTAGCTGAACCAACAAAACCCGTGTGAACACAATATAATGTTGCATTTGATTTACAATGGTTAAATCTTGTTGTATCATGGTCAATACTACCACTCATTTTTTAGGTGAATAACATCAA